GCACATGTTTGTATAGGATTGCATTCATTTAAAGAGGTGGTCATCCTTAAATTTTAACCCCTATTTTCTGAGTACAGTAGAATGGTCCTCTGAAACCAGATACTTGAATTGCTCTATAGTCAGAGGTTGAATCTATCTTTGCTTAGCAAGAGAAGAAAATCTATTCTACTCAAAATGGAACATTTATTTTTTTTATTGTTCACATTGAAAAGTGTAAAAAGCAGCTATTATTGGAAATGGTTATTTCTTGGGGGTTGTAAGATAATTTACAGTTTGGTTTAATGAATTCTGGTAAAATTTTTAATTGCTTTATTGCATGAAAATTAATGTGACAATGGAATTTTGCCAGGACAACAGCAAAATTTGCATTGACACCAGAATTCACTTTATAGGTATTCATTTTAAGACAAGTTGACTATATATATAATTGGTTCTGTCTAAAGTTCCCCTTTCTTAAATTCACAAAATGGTCAATCCCAGTTTTGACCCTGTACAAATTAATGATGCTAAAATAAAACTTTTGTAAAGTCAGTCATTTGCTAGTTCCATCCTATCCTTTACACTGTCACTTGGTGTTGTAAGCAGGTAATATGTGCATTTTTAAGAATAATTATTATCTTGGTGTAACTATAAATCCATTTTTATCCACTTTGATTATAAAACCATCTTTATAACTAATACTTTTAATTAACTATACTTCACATATGGGAAAGAAAGATGAAAAGCATATACTTTTATCACGTAACCAAAAATATTATCTCGTCTGAACTGCATCATAAAGAACAGATAGCCTGGACAACAAATTGATTTAAATTCTTCCTTTCCATCTATTGTTTTACAACATAATTGCTTGAATGGTTTTAGAAACAAATATTTAACAGCAGTTACTGACTTTATGATTATTAAGAAATGGAAAAACTTGCCAATAAAAGCTAAATAATCATATCATTTTTTCATGGATTGTTTCATATTTTTAAGTAATGCCATCTTATTAAACAAAAATTAATTCTGTGGAAAATCCTCATATTTAAGTGATAATTGTGAGGAAATAAAAAAGATAAATGTAAACATCTCAAATTACAAGTCTAAATATGTTTATAATTTTGAAACAGTAAAATCTCAAATATTAATAATTAAATGTTTCCAACATCAACCAAGAGGTTATAGTAAAGAAGCTTTATCTTTAAATAAAATCAAAAACAAAATTTAAAATAATTGCATATGCTCTAGGGCAGGAGTGTCAAACTGGCGGCTCCCAATGTGGTTTTTTAAACTGAGGCCATGATGCTCTGGAATTAAATAAAACAGCTTATGAATCAAGATTAACTGATAAACATCTATCTGCCATAATGAAGATTGTTCTCAGTTTTTGAATCCAGATATTGGAAAACTAAGAGGAGGACGATAGTGCTGGCAAGTTTTCAATGAAAATAATTATAGTTTTATAAATATGTACATAAAATAAAATAAATGTTTAAATAAAAGCAATACTAAAGCAATTATATTTTGTTGAGTTGAATTCACTGAACTACATAATGTGTTTTAATTTCCCTATCTATATTCCTGCATTCTCATTTCAGATTATAGTTTTAAGAAAATTCGTAAATATAATGTGGCCTGCATGAATCTTACCAGTTGCATTAATGGCCCATTGTTTAAATGAGTTTGACACACCTGCTCTAGGGAAAACATCTATAACAAATTTTTTGAAGTAAACAGCTTCTGTGTCATTTATTTTTTTATTACCTGTAGTTTTATATAATTTAATGCTTAAATGTTATTTTAATTATTATTAAATTGTATTTACATTTAAAAACAAAATCCAGTTTTCTCTACAAATATCACTTTTTCTNAATATCTCATCTCATTTGTTAACATGTCTAAAAGTATAAATGAAATTATGAATAATTAAATCTTACAATTATCCCCCATATAACATGGTAGTTAGGTTCCATAAAAGTGCTGTGTTATGTGAATCAATGCTATACAAAACATATGGTTAAGTTCCAAAAGTTAGCAAAGGTATACTATTCTTTTTCATAATTAAGAGAAATATAGTATGTTTACTAAAGCAATTAATTTATTTAACTAACAATCACAGTCAAAAGTATTGCATGTTAATACTGTATTAATCATTTTCTTCACTGCTAAACACTATTAAAAGAGGATATTTTCTTTTTGGCAAAATATCATCATCTTTTAAGCTTTTCTGTTGATCTTAATCTTAATTATCAGCAACATCTTGATTTTTCTTATAAAATGTGATATTTTCATTTGCTTGCATTTGCCTCTCTTTTGCTCTCATTTGCCATCTCTTTGGGCTGCAATTTGAAAAGTTATAGACTTATAAACTCCCACTGTTGTCCATCCATCTGTCTGTCTTTCCTTAATCTCAAGATCAGAGTTAGATAGATGGAAGATGAGATCAGATATGGAAATCTTAGGGACAGGAGGCTCTGATTAACTATATAAGAACTTCCAATGCAAACTGGAAGTAGTGTTATTTTAATTTACAAATTTTTTCCTGAAAGGTGTTATATAGATGACTGGCACAACTATATTGTTAAAGGAAAAGTATGATGTACAGGGAAATTTCACTACTAATTTGGGGTGGAGAGAATATACAGGGTGTTTCAAAAAGAATTATTCGATTTAAAAAAAATCATAACTATTCAGCTTTTAATACATTTTGATTGAACGATGTATTGTTAGAAAGAGGAAATTCTCAAGTTTTATGCAGTTGCTGATTGGAAGCACCCATGTGCTTTGTGTACCTGTCACCTCCATATTTTTGGGAATCACATATCTTGATATGCTTGAAAACTGGTTTTTCTCACAGTTAAAGACTGATTTGGATGACTTCATTTTCCAGCAGGATGGGGCACTACCACACTGGAGCCTGGAAGTTCAAGAAGTTTTGAATTCACAGATTCCTCAACGATGGATCGACCATATATGACCTAATGATTCAGCTTTACATAACTGTCCTTCTAGGCTGCTGGACTTCACTGTTTGTGATTTTTTTCTTGTGGGGTTTATAAAAGACTCCATTTATGTGCCTCCTCTTTCAGCTACAGTGGTCAAACTGCAAAACTGCATAACAGCAGTGGTGACAGCAGTGGATCCAGACATGAAAAATTTGGGACAAATTTCACTACTGTTAGGACATATGCCATGCATTCAAAGTGGGGCATATTGAGCACGTATGATTTAGTATGTAAAAAGATTTGAAGATTAGCCCTGTAATATAAAATTAATCTTAAGTGTGTATCTTTATTACTTTTCATAATATAATCATTTTAAATCAGATGATTTGTTTGGAAACACCCTGTATTTTAAATTAAATAAATTAAAAGTTTCATATGAGCATTGTGATGATGTTACAATAAATAATTGCTCATTATGTAGTAACTTTTAATTTAATCTATAAAACAAAGCACAGCAACAGCCATTTCAGATTTATTTAGAGCACTGTCACCAATGACAGCAATATTTGATTTATAAGAAAGCTTAGACAAGGAAGAGAAAAATTGCACAATCAGTTTGCATTAAAGAAAACAGGGCAAAAGGCATGAAATAACATTGAAAATTTATTATTCTGAAATCTGTGAGCAAATATAAGACAACACACATGCTTTAATTAAAAAAAAATATTGAATGATGGGGTTTGCACTTAAAAATTGCAATGTTTTCTCTGGGGATGTTCTCAAACTGTGTTAAAGCAAAACTGTCTCATACAGGGGATATCTCCAATTCTCAAACCGTGCTAGAGCAAAACCATGTTGTAGGAATGCTGTGTTGTACAAGGAATACCTGTATTTATATTAGAACTGAAAATTATTTCATATTCTCTTTTACAATATTACCATATAGTTTAATGAATATCAAAAATATGTAATATATTTTAGTTTTATTATACAGTGGGTGATTGGTTAACAAACATAATCCATTCCAAGACTTTGTTCGTTATCCGAATTGTTCATTAACCGATTATCGATTTACCATAGGTTTATATGGGAATTTGATTAATTCATTCCAGGAACTCCAAACAATAAAAAAATAAAAACTTTTTTACTACGTTTATTTATATGTAATAATAAAAATACACATATATGCAGTCTTGCATTTTTATTAGTCATGTTTTTTTCTGTTTGTGGAGGTTAAAGAATCTGTCCAATTTCGATTGCTTTTCTCTTTTCTTCAGTATTTTTTGGAAGTAATTAATAGTATTGTAATTGTAGAGATCCCCAACACCATTAACCCTATTCTAGTTTGGATGCCACTTGGTTGTTTGTTGTTCTGACATCCTTCCAAAATCTTTCCCCAAAAAATCTCTAGTAGCAAATGTTGGCATTGGTCCTCTTTCGTCTTCCTCTTTTTCAATTGAGAGTTTTTGGAGTTCGTCTGTCATCAGATCAGTTTCAGATCAGATTCATCTTCTTGATTATACCGTATCTTTCTTAGATAAGATTGAACTGCACCCTACTGTAGATTTGTTCAAGCCATACTGCCCAGCAACATCAGACATCTTCTGCCCACTCTCTACCTTTGCTATTTTACCTTTCGAAAATAAAACTCAACACAACACTTAATGAGTGCCTGCCTGACATTCTTGCAAATACTATAAAAGAATTGTTTCTGTCAGAAAAATGAAAGGTTGGAATTACAAGGGAGAGTTTCAAAGTTCAGAGGAATACTATCTGATCAGTATATTCCGGGTTGGATGTCGATGTCTCCAGCGCTCTGAAAAGTTTTGAATTGTTGCCTGAAGACAAGGGAAGATCAATCGGTATTTGCTATTTTTGTTGCTTCTTTTTATGTTTGTTCAGTGAAGTGTTTGTTGTCTAATCATAAAAATCTTTCGTGAAAGTGTTCGTTATTCGATTTGTTCGTTAACCAATCACCCACTGTATAATATATCTTCAGTTTTTGACTGGTTTCAGTTTTTAAAAGTATAAATTGTTATATTGAAACTTTATTAATTTATATTTATTTATTAGATATTGATATTGAACTCTTCATGAAATTTAACAAAATACGAGCATTGACAAAAGAATCCAGAGATGTTGCAAATGCTGTATCATCTTCTAGTATAATAAAAGTAAGTTTAATTTCATTACAAGATAAATTTTTTAAAATTTGAATAATTACTGTATATCTGCGCAGATAAGACGACCTTCAGATAGGACGAGATATAAATATTTGTCCAAGTTTTATAGTTTAGCAAATATCTGTCCTATAAGACGACCCCAAACTATCAACAGCCTATGAATTTAGTTTAGATCAGCAATCATCATCTGGATAATAATACTGTATAGCGTATAAAGAATTATGTCCTATTTGTAATTTTTCGAATGAACAAATTTTATTTTCTTGCATCTGGCAGCATTGCCTTGTGATTGTTACAAACATTCTCACTGATTCGAGCATTCAGATAATGACCCTGACTATTCACNGCACTGGCGTGTCCATGAGAGGGTACTTAAGGACATGCCAGGATTTGAATGAATTTCAACATGGGATAGGCTGATATATTTTTTTGTACATAATCAGTTATCCAAACAACCCCAGTCCTGAATAGTTTTGGATAATCGATGCTCTACTGTAATATGTATATATTTTTAATAGCACAATATATGCTATATTGTGCTATTAAATATATTCTTATTCTTTCATATTTATCATTAAAATTAACTAAGTTATTTTTATTTTTATTAATTGCAATGATAAATATTATAAATTTATAAAGAAATGTATCATTTGACACTACTAATGAATAATGATTGCATCAAATTATGACACTCAAATGTTATGATGAATTGAAGTTTAAAAGAAATATACTGTATTATATAACAATTTATTCTATTTATGCACTGTTATTACCATATATATTATAATCTATATCTAATGGATCAAATACCAGACAATTCTGAGTAAAACTTTTTATTTTAGGAGAGAATGGAAAAGTTGGAAAAATAAATATTTATCTTTACAAAAAAAAGCAATGGCAGAAGTAAAACAGAAATTATTCTTGAATAATAATTCTAATGTAAATAACAATAATAAAACTGAACAGATAAATGAAGAAATTGACAAAATTAATGAAGTGAAAGAAGATATAAAATGTAAAAATACTTTGAATTATCAGCCAGGAGTTATTATAAAAGTAAACTGTGAAAATCCAATTACTGAAGTTTCAAAATTCAAAGTAAGTTTGTTTTTAAATTATTAAGAACTTTTCACTTTAAACTTCAAAATTTTAAACAGTCAACATATGATATTAAATTAATTAATAAAATTAAATTAATATCTTATCAAAAGTAACTGAATACAAATTTTAAGATAATAATTAAATTGGCCAAATTTAACAATTATTAATTTAAAAATGTAGAGTCAGATTAACTTTATTACATAGTAATTATATTTAAATATTTAAAATGATTTTAAAAAATTCTTATGATAATTAATTAATTTAATAGGCAAAAATAAATCAATTGGGAAATGTTGCTTACGTTGATGTAAATAAAGATACTACAATGGCTTACATACGTTGTCAATCAGCAGAAGATGCCTCAAAANGATAAAACAAAATTAAAAAGAATATTGCCAGTTACTAAACGAGAAAATATTGATGACTGTATGATTTATGTTGAAAGACTTCCATCCGGTGTAGATCATGACTGGTTAAAGTCTGTTTTCAGTAATTTTGGTACTGTTCTATATGTCAGTTTGCCTCGATTTAAGCCTACAGGAAAGCCTAAAGGATTTTCTTTCATTGAATTTGAAACACCAGAATCAGTAAAAAGAGCATGTCAGGTAAAATTATTAAAAAATCTTTTAATAAAAATTAAATAATAAATTTTATGATTAAATATATGAAATTCTATGAATATGTATTTTCAATTAATACATATATCTATTTTATTTGGAAGATAAATTTCAAGATTTTAAAAGTTTTCTACAATTAATTGTACGTGCATTTTTTTAGCTTTATTTCAGATATTTGAATTGTGTGTGTGTGTGTTAATAATTAAAATTTTGTATAATCAATTCTATAATGTTTTCCTTTCCTTTCCTTTCTTGAAATTGTTATATAATGAGAATATGTGCATTATTTATATCTCAATATATTTATTTTTATATGTAGATTTGTAGATTCAAATTACTGATTTCATTATCCATTTAAAAAAATTTTTAATATCCATAAAGAAACATATGATTCTCAGCTAAAAATATGCCATACATGTAGTCATTATTATTTTATAATTTTTATTTTTTTTAATTATCTTCAATTTATTGTTATGTTATTTATTTTAACTGTTATTTTTTTTATTCTTTTGCTATATTTTTTATTGAATTGGCAAATAATTTGCCAATTAAATTATCTTATGATATCATTCCTATATTATTTTTATACTTTGTTTAAATTTTCTTTTTTATATTTATTATTCCATTATTATTATTGTTAAATTAAGATGATACATGTGATACTATTTTAAAGTGGTTATTTTTATTTTATTATTTATTTGAAATTGTATTTTGTCTTTATATTTGCAGCAAAATTCAAAAGAATAAAACAAAATATATTGATAAAGCTTTTGGTTACAATACTTATAATATATCTTAATTTAATACAATATATCAGACATGGGCAAATGCGGCTCTTTTTTGAGTTACATGCGGCTCTTGCTGAATGTAACTCAAAAAAGAGCCGCATTTGCCCACGTTCTGTTATATACCTTTGATTTCACAGAAACAATTTTAGCAAATTGAAAACCTTTAATATTGTGTTAAATACAGTAGAGCGTCGATTTTCTGAAAGTCAATCATCCGAAAGAATTCCAGTCGGCAAATTTAAATTTTCGCCAGTGCTGTGGCGCTTCAATCTTTGGCTATGTCTTGGGCTACTCAAATATTTTACGTTTTTGATA